GGTCCAGCCTTCGACCAGCAGAGCATCTCCAGGTCAGCTTCTCTCACCTCCCTGCTAAGCAGCCCAAGTCAGCTCCCTCCAGGCCGGTCCTGCCACCTTGCACAGTCCCTCAGATCTGCAGGACGGCGCTGCACCCTGTACCAACCTCCATGTTAGGGATCCAAGCCCAGCGCTGAGCAGACACTCGCCTAACTTTGGGGAGAAGCTAAGTTTCAAGACTGAACACGGAAGTTCTGTATCCACAGCCCTTCTTGTGTCGTCATAGTGGACTGGGCTACATTTCCCATAAGTCAGCGCGAAAGACTTCCGATATCCCTTCCCAGAAGGTGAAGTGTTCAGTGACTGGCTTCCAGCCGAGTTTTGTGCAGATGAAGTTGTAAGAAGCTTGAGCACAGGGGCAGTCATGGTGGATCAGACTGTTTTAGTCCTGCGATCTCAGCACCCGCTGTTAGCCTGTGAGCCGAGCCTTTCACATTAATGTTTACCACGTTTCCTACTTATTTCCGCTAATACCTGTCAGTTTAAAGCTCAGGTCTACTTAGTGTGGGATCTTAACTACAGCATGAAAACTCACATTGATCTGTTTTACTTAAAAATAAGGAAGCAGGAAGCTAATATAGGACCGAACATCATCTCTTCAAGATGCTTTTTGAAATCATCCTTGGTAATCCTGTCGCTCATGCAGTGACTCGGGTGCTTAAGACAGAAGAATCAGAAAACAAGGCTAACAAGGACAATTTATAGACTGTTTTATCTAAACACACGGTAGAGAATGGACAGGGGTAGCTTAGGGTAAGGGCTATACCACTTGACTATAATGAAGGTGGCTTTGGTTTAATACCCAGTAATAAAATTAATCCTCATTCTCCTGTGCCTACACCCAGTGTGAGGCAGACGTGGATCAGACTCCAGGGCCGGCATAGGGTTCATATGAACTCTGGAATCCACGCAGTGAAGGGCATGGGTCAGGGTCACGGAGATGGTTAAAATCATTGAACGAAGTGAAAATTACCAAACTCTGAAGTTTCCTTGGAATGAACTTCCAGAATCCATCTAAGGATCTTTCCACTTTTCTGTAAATTCCGTTTCCACACTTTCACCCATTTGTTTGTCTAATTTATTTTTTGTGTCCACTCTGCCATAACCACCTCACCCACTTCTCCCTGACTTTTCACAAACTCGGGCACATAAATCACCACCAGCTGTGCCCTGAGCGCATGATTTCCTCCTCTGCACCTCCCGCAAGGGGCACAGTCCTGGGATCGCACTGAAGTGTGCACCATCTATTGGTCCATTGTGCCTTGTAGGATTTCCCTCTGCACTACGTTTGATATTCCTTATCAAATTCACTATTTCTCCTCTTATCCTGAGATTGTTCATCTTTGACACTAAGTTGAACATCAACAGTATCTGACTCGACCTTCCCTCATTTGTACTAAGCAGAACACTGAGATGATTCCTCCTTGACTACAAAGGTGTCAGAAATATATTCTTAGGACCATGGATTGCACTCACTGTCACGAAGAAGCTACATGGAATCATGGAGTACTGAGAATATCCATCTCTCCTTTGCAAGATTTTGGTACATTTCATGCTTGAGACAAAGATACAAACTCCATCACAAGGAAGATTTTATGTTTTTATGATAGACTGATTCACAAGGAACTGTTTGTGAGTGAAGACTGTGTGAACTTCATAGTCAATTCCTTTATTGCAGACTATGTTTTACCCCCTGACTCACAACAACTTCCTCAACTCAAAGGAACTAGATTCAACAAGCAGTGCTTCCACCTGGACATTTGACAAGTCTGTCTACAATAAGGTCACATCTGCTCTTCTTCCTCCCTAGTGCTGCAGTGAAGGGCATTGTCAGCAACCTTAAGATTTTCTTAAGAATTTCTGAGCATGGATAGGCTTCCAAAATGTGTGTATGTGGGTATGGGCACATGTGTATTTTTTGTGCGCACGTTTTTGTGTAAGACAGTGTGTACATTTGTATGTGCAGATGTATTGATGTGTGCACGTTTGTGTGTGAGTGTGTGTACATGTGTGTTTGTGTGTGCACATGTGTGTTTGTGTCTGTTACATTGAAACATGACTAGAGAGTTCCTCATTCATACGAGAAGTGCTGATTCTTCAGGATACAGTACTCATTCACAACTCATTTTCAGTCTCCATTTCTAAGAACAAGTCTAAGCTAAGGCAGAGCTTTCATAATTAATACTAAGTCTCTGTGTAGGTTTTGTGAGCTGGTGACCTAAAGAAAAATGATTCTACACTTTAGTAATAAAAACTGCACGATAATGGCACAAAAAAGACACTTTTATTCATGGACTCAAATTGACGACCAGACACAAATCCATACACATAAGGACACTTGATTTTTGATTTAAAAAAGCCGGAAAACACAATGGAAGAAAAAAACTTCTTCAACAAATGATGCTAGTCTAACTTGACGTCTGAATGTAGCACACTGCAAATAGATCCACCCTTATTATCCTGCAAATCCAGGTGGATCAAAGACTTCAACATAAAACCAGATAAAGTGAACCTGAGAAAGTTGGAAATAATCTTCAACACTTTGGCACAGGAGATGACTACCTAAATAGAACACCAATGGCATAGGAACTAAGATAGAAAATTAATAAATGGGACGTCATGAAATTGAAAATCTTCTGTAAGGCAAAGGACACCATCAAAAAAGCAAAAGAACAGCCTGAAGAATGAGAAAAGATTCTTATCAACTCCACGTCCTATAGAGGGCTAATATCCAAAATATATAATGAACTCAAGAAACTAGATATCAACACACCAAATAATCCAATTAAAAGTGGGATACAGATCTTAACAGAGAATTCTCAGTAGAGGAATCCCAAATGGCAAAGACAATTTAAGAAATGTTCAATATCCTATGCCATCGGGAAAATGCAAATCAAAATGCCACTGAGATTTCATCTTACACCTATGAAAATGACTAAGATCAACAACACAAGTGCCAGCTCATGATTTGGATCAACTGGCACATGCCAGCATTGCTGGTAGAAGTACAAAATTTATAGCCACTTTAGAAGTCAATATGGAGGTTCCTTGGAAAACTGGGAATTAATCTACCTCAAGACCCAACTATACCAATCTTAGCCATATACCCAAAGGATGATCCATCCTAACAAAAGGATACTTCCTTAATTAGTTCATTGCAGATTTATTCATAATACCCAGAATTTGGAAACAACCTAGAAGTCCCTCAACAAATGGATAAAGATGATATGGTACATTTACACAATGGAGTGTTACTCAGTTGTTGAAAAGATGATATCATAAAATTTGAAGGCAAATGGATGGAATTAGAAAATATAATTCTGAATAAGGTAACTCGGACTCAGAAAGACAAACATGGTGTGTAGTCACTTATAAGTATATGTTAGCTGTTAAGTAAATGATAATCATGCTTAAATCCATACACCTGAGGAGGCTAAGTAACAAGGAGGGTTCTATAGTGGATACATGCATCTTCCTGGAAGGTGAATAGATTGTACCGGAGGACTGGGAGTGGGGAAGTATGGGAATGGGAAGGATCACACTGGGGGAGGGGTAGAGGGAGAGAGCAGATAGCAGAAAGAGCAATAACTGAAATTTGAGGGGATTTGTGAGGTAGCGGAAACCTAGAGCAGTAGAATCTCCCTGGAATATATGAAGGTGACCCTGGTGAGGACATCTAGTAACGGAGGATATGGAGCCTGAATTGGCCATCTTCTGTAAAGTAGCAAGGCCTCCAGTAATGGGACTGAGACACCAACCCAGTCACGAAACATACAACCTACAATCTGCCTGCCTGCAAGATGTGCTGGGCAATGGTGGCACAGAACTGGTGACTTGTGGAAATGGTCAACCAATGATTAGTCTAACTTGAAACCCATAGAATGGGAGAGAACTTATGCCTGACACTGTATGAATGAACAGGAAGGTGGATAGCATGAAGACCTAGGCTAGAACCAAACTCAACTGACAAAAAAAAAAAAAATATCAAGGAAATTATTCCTGATGTTTTGCCATATTCACAGATCAGTGCCTAGTCTAGTCATGATCAAAGACGCTTCCTCTGAGAGCCAATGGGAGCTGATGCAGAGAACCACAGCCAGGCATTCAGAGAGAGAACCCTGGGTTGGAAGTCTCCATTGGGTCCATTCCCTTGGAGCTTGGGAAAGCCTGTAGAAGTGGGGAATGAAGAATTTTGCTGGACAGAAGGATCGGCACTGTAAGAGCATGGCCTACAGAGTGAATTAAGCAGGACTCATAGTGCCTCACGGGGAGGGAAGTTGCAATTATGGATCCTGTGTGAGTCTACACTACATTCTCTGCATATATGTTATGCCTGTTGGATTGGAGTTTTGTGGAACTCCTGACAGTGGGAGTGGGGGTGTCTCTGACTCTCCTGTTCTTGGGACTACTTTCCTCCTACTAGGTTTCCTTGCCCATCTTGATGCAATGCTCTTTTCTGGGGGAGTGGATTTAAAGATGACGGGAGGTGAGGGAAGTGGGAAGAGCGGAGGGAGAGTAAGCTACAGTTGGAATGTTTTGACTGAGAGAAGAATAAACTTTAAAAATCTCAAAATACAACATAACAAACTGTAGAAAGAAGTTTCTCTCCCACCCACCAGTTTCCAAATAACCAGTCAGAGGCTTATATTAATTATAAATGCTCAGCCAATAGCTCAGGTTTGTTACTAGCTAACTCTTACATTTAAATT